TATATATAATAAAAATAAAAATATCAGCAATACTTACAAAAAATTTCAAATTTAATTTATAATTAGAACACAATAACATGTAAAATGCTTAAATCTTAAATGCATTTGTTCTTGATTTACATACACACGATAGATTTTTTTAATTTAAATTAAAATTATATTATTAATACAAATAAATTATATTATTTATTAGTATTAAAACATCATTCAAAATTTGTCATTGTATATTAATTGTCATTGTAAATTGCATACGATTTCTGCGTACAACCGATCAAGATTCATCGTTAAATTAAGAACGAAAAATAACACTAGCTTATTTTTAGAAAAAGTTATTTTTATTATTTTGAACCAGGTAAGATTTCTTATAGATTCTGGGATACTGAAAACAATGTGGCAAGTTAAATCTCATCAACAAGGTTCCGAAATAATTGAGTTATAATTAGAATTAGAGAATAATAATAATCATTGAATTAATGTGTTAAAAATGGCTTCTTGTGATATTCGAAATATTTTGTAAAAAGGATTAACGTTATATTGAAATTTTGATCAGAAAATATAAATGTAGTGTTTATTTTTTTTTAAACGATTTTTTCAATTTTAATAATTTTATATTTTAACTATGTCATGAAGGATTTAATATAAGAGTACATACAGAGTTTTGTTAATATAAGATATACAGCAAATTTTCTGTTTATGACGATGAAAAGTCATAAAAAATAAAATGGTATTATGTCATTCGTAGTGATATAATGGCCTCTCTTTAATATTTTCGATATTAAATGGTGGATTCTGATAATTATTTATGGAATCATTTATTAAAAAGCTCTCTATTCACAATGGCGCTAATACGCCAATACACAACAGACGACATTTATTATAACGCACTTTTACTTTTGAGCATTTCGAAATGTTTTTAAGATACATTTTAACATTTAATTATACGTATTTCCTCATTTTTCTTTAGCTTGGACGTGTTACATGTACACACGAATATATGTACACTTGTTTTATTCGTTATTTAATATTTTATTTGACAATATGCATTATTTCGTTATACAATTGCATAGCATTTTGCTAATGCATCTTTCTATAAGCGTGATAATACTTCTTTTTCAAAGTTTTCATATCAAAGTAGTTACTTGATACGTCGAATTGTAACTCTACGATTGCAGCACTGCTAATCTATGTAGTTCACGTTATATGTACTATAAATTTTTAGTACTGAATAGCCAATGCGAAAGAAGTTATATGTACATACGTATACACATTTGCGTACATTCTACAATTTTTTTTTCTTTTTTTGTAAATGTATAATTTTGTAACCAAATATTGCGTTCTTATAAACAAACTTGATTTTTAAAATCTATTTTTGTGCGGAAGGGGGCATATTACTAATATTACATCCCTGTTTCTCTTCAACCCACTATTTCATGTCGCCATTTTCTTTTTTTTTTTTTCTTTCAGATAGCTTCATTATTCTAGCCATATTAACACTGACTACCATGCCATTTGAATACACATGCACCTATGTAGGTTCAGGGCACCGCGTGTATCACACACAATTTGAATATACACAAATTTCCTACTTACTACCATTTGTACATGAATCTTTGCATTGATTTTGTGACATATTGTAAATTCGGGAGAGATTTAGTAATTTAACCGAAAATTTTTAGTAATGTTAATTTTTACTTAAAAAAATATTTTAGCGTATTTTGTATGTTTTACGGATCCCAAAATTAAAAATATTCAGCTACAGCAAT